CTATTAAATTTACAGTTTTATCTTTTAGTTATGGGGGGAGGCTCCACCCTGCATGTGGAGTAGAGGAGGATTTAGTTCTTTTTGTTTCCATATTGCCAGTTGTCTGAACACCTCCACCAGACCATGTATCCATTTTCCAAGAATGTGTGGAACCTCTTTACCAATGCTAAAGTTGATGTGTCTGACTCCCAGCTCTCTGCTTTGTTTTATGGATCTATTTTCCTGTTCTTGTTGCAGTACTATATATTTTTTTAAAATACCTTAATTATTATACCTTTGTAATAGGTCTTAATAATGGGTAGATTAGGCTCCTCTTCTATGATACTTTTATTTTTATATTGACCCAGCCCCTGATGAACTTTAACCCTTCCAATTAGAATAAAATCATTGGGCTGGGGATCTAGCTTAGTTGCAACAGTGCTTGCCTCTAATGTGCAAAGCCTTGGGTTTGATCTCCTGCACCATAAATAAATAAATAAATAAATAAATAAATAAATATTGTCTGGTTTAAAAATCCAACTAGATTTTTATTGGACCACATTGAATATATACTGATTTAGAAAGAATTCACACCTTTATGTTAATAGGTCATGCCTCCCTAGCATGTGGGTGGATCTTATACATTCAGATAACCTTATTAACCTTTTAAGGATATTTGTTTCTGCTTTTGTTCCATCATTTTAATAATGCTTTCTTTCAAATATATCAATACTTTTAAGAGTACACTTTTGAAAGGTGTATTTTGCTGAGAAATATTTCTAAAAACACCAGTTCAAGTTTTCTTCTAGTATTTTTGTAATTTTGATTTTCTAATGTTTAAACCTTTGATCCGTCTGGGATTCATGTTGCTGTAGGACAGAGGGGCAGAGGGCGGTGGCAAGAGGGTTTCATGGGGCGGCAGTAAGGCTGGGGGAGTTTTTCTGTTTGCTCCTTGGATAATTGTTTGGGGGCGGTTCCTTAGGGACGACCTGGCCCAGTTGCCCTTCCTGACCATGTGCATCAAGGAGAGTCTGCGGTTGCACCCCCCAGTCACAATCATCTCCCGCTGCTGTACCCAGGACGTTGCCCTCCCCGACGGCCGTGTCATCCCCAAAGGTGCCCACAAC